ACACGGTAATATTCCAATAACTAACCTAAAGTTGGTCTGGGACATAAAACTACAACATTCTTTAGCATTTGTGGTGGAAATAAATCAGAATGTATATAAATAAATACTTTAGTATAATCCTGAGATGAAGCTGGTTTTATCTGGAATATAAACAATAAATGAGCTGATAAGAAGAAGGAGGAAAACAACCTAAATGTGGGCAGTGAAGTGAGAAGGTCTCTAAATTTAACCTCTCAGCTCTTCATGTCATGAGGGCCTGAAACTGCTGAGGATTCATTTCCACCAGTCTGAACCTGAAACGTTAAAATGATCCAACATCAAAGGCTGGAAAACTATTTAAAACCAAAACTCCTGCATTTGATCTTTCTTATCCTGTTAATAAATGTGTATCAGGATAAAATGAGCGTTACTGAAATGCTTTTCTTCTCATATTGGGAAAGGTTGAACTAAGCTGAGGAGCTGAAACAGCTTCTTCTAAAGCTATAAAAGTTAGTTTATGTCTTTGTTTCCAAAGTTTTCATCCTGTTTGCTGCGGAGGAACCATCTCTGCCCCACAGAGACACATTTACCAGCCAAACAACACGGCGGTGTAACAAACACCGAGGTTACCCCGGTTATTTTAGGACCAGGAAGCAACAACTGAAGTTAAAGTGACTGAAGTAGCGTTAGCTAGCGGAGGCTAACTGCCGACAGCTTTAAAAAAGCTAAAACCTGCTGAATAAAATGGTTTCTTACCGACACGCTGCTGCTCTGTTCTTCTTGGAATGCAGTAAATAAATATTTGTTCTTTCCAATCAAGTCATGTTTGACAGGCTGGAGTTAAACTGTAACCTGCTACAGAAACAGAAGCGAAGCTCCGCCTGGTTCCTCTGAATGCAGGGGCGGAACCTCGGCCTGGGCGTCCGCAGCCCCCATCCGGCCCCCCAACACAGGAGGATCTTCTTCTTCTTTTCTATCATGGCGGATCGCAAGCAACTTTAAAGGAATAGTACACCCAAAACATGATTAGCCTTCATTTTCTACTCACCC